GCCTCTTCCGGGTCTCCCACGCGGGTGCAGGGTCCCAAAGCCTTGGGCTGTCCTCGACTGCTTTCCCAGGCCACAGGCAGGGAGCTGGAAGGGAACCGGCGCCCATATGGGATCCCGGGCGTGCAAGGCGAGGACCATTAACCACTTGCGCCACCGCACCGGGTCCAAACTTCCATTGGTTTTGACAGCACCTTTGAGCTTAAAGTTTCCTACATGAGGTTTAAAATAAAGTCACTTGGGGCCCGGCGCGGTGGCGCAAGTGGTTAAGGTCCTCGCCTAGCACGCCCGGGATCCCATATGGGCGCCGGTTCTAATCCCGGCAGCCCCGCTTCCCTTCCAGCTCCCTGCCTGTGGCCTGGGAAAGCAGTCGAGGACGGCCCAAAGCTTTGGGACCCTGCACCCGTGTGGGAGACCTGGAAGAGGCTCCTGGCTTCGGATCGGCATAGTATCGGCCCGTTGCGCTCACTTGGGGAGTGAATCATCGGACGGAAGATCTTCCTCTCTGTCTCTCCTCTCTGTATATCCGCCTTTCCAATGAGAAAATAAAAGTCACTTGGGGGTTGGGGAACATTTCAGAGTCCTCTGCGTGAGGTCCACGTCTCAAGCTGTGCTGTGGACCTGGGAGCAAGGCCATGGTGTCCTTGTCTGGGAAGAGCTCTGCCCCCTCGGGTAGAGTGCTCCGTGTGCTAGTGGCCTGTGACCCTCTCTGATGGCCTCTGCCTTTGTGAAACCTCCCTGCTATGGATGAGCCCCACAGGTAAAGCTTTGTGAGTGAGGGGTGTGGAAGCGGCACCCGTCCCAGCTGCCATGTAGAGGTAGAGTGCTGAGAAATGGCTAGAGCTCTCTGAGGTAGACACTCTAACTGGGAGCCAGGCGGAGCCGCAACTGGCCACACCTGTCAACAGGGCCCATGCTAGGATCCTGGGAGGAAGGTGGCAGGCGGCATGGAGCAGGTGACACACTGTTTCCATGTTCTTACCAGGGCTTGGTTGATTTTTCTGTTTCATTATTTTTTAAATTTTATTATTTTCAAGATTGGTTTATTTTTATTGGAAAGGTAGATTTGCAGAGAGGAGATAAGAGAAAGATCTTGCATTTGCTGGTTCACTCCCCAAGCAGCCACAACGGCTAGTGTTGAGCCAATCTGAAGCCAGCAGCCAGGAGCCTCCTCTGGGTCTCCCACGCGGGTGCAGGGTCCCAAGCTGCTGGGATTAGAACCGGCATCCATATGGGATCCCAGTGCATTCAAGGAGGACTTTAGCCACTAGGCCATGCAGCCAGGCCCTATTTATTTATTTAAAAGGCAGAATTATAAAGAGGGAGACACAGAGAGATATTCCACCGAATAGTTCTCTGCCCAGATGCTCACCTCTAGGGCTGGGCCAGGCTGCAGCCAGGAGCCAGGAACCTCTTCGGGCTCTCCCTCGTGGATGCAGGGACCCAAGCACTTGAGCCGGCCTCTGCTCCTTCCCAGTTGCATTAGCACAGAGCTGGATTAGGAATGGAGCAGTGAGGGCTTGAACCAGGGCTCATATGGATGTTGGCACCACAGGCTGTGGTTTAACTCTTTGTACCCTGTTTTTCTGTGTAAATGTGGCTTTACCTGCTGTGTGTCCTCTGTGCCATGTCCAGAGACTTGATTCTGAGCTTCATTGTCATCTCCCAGGTGGAGATGACGGGTAGCTGGCCCTGCCTTGGCTGGCGTCGTGCAGTGCCCCCAGCCTCTGTTGAAGGCAGAGCAAGCGGGGGTAAAGTGCAGAATTAGCACCTGGTGCAGCTGGAGTGGACACACTGCTCCGCACTCAGCCTCTTCTCTGCTCCCCAGGCTTCCTGCGCTGGCCATGCCTGTGCCCACAGAAGGCACCCCACCGCCCCTCAGCGGCACCCCTGTCCCGGTCCCGGCCTACTTCCGCCATGCTGAACCTGGCTTCTCCCTCAAGAGGCCCGGGGGGCTCAGCCGGAGCCTCCCACCCCGACCCCCCGCCAAGGGCAGCATCCCCGTCAGTCGCATCTTCCCTCTTCGGACCCCGGGCTGGCACCAGCCCCATCCCCGGCGGGTGTCGTTTCGGAATGACGCCTCAGAGACCCTTCAGAGCCCTGGATACGACCCAAGCCGGCCAGAGTCCTTCTTCCAGCAGAGCTTCCAGAGGCTCAGCCGCCTGGGCCACGGCTCCTATGGGGAGGTCTTCAAGGTGAGTGTGGGGCCTACACCTAAAGGACCCTTTGCCTATCTCCCCTCCACAAACTAACAGTGTCCTAGGCAGCATGCCCTCCTCCCCTCCCGCACCTGCCCCTCCTGGGCAGGTCCCTCCAAGCGCTGCCTCACGCACACTGGCCCCTTGTCCAGGGTCTGGCGTGCGCTGTGGCAGCTGCCATCTCCTCTCCCCTGGAGCCAGTGTGCTGTGGTTCTTGGTAAGTCTGCCTGGCCTGGAGCTGGCCCTGAGTGCAGTGTACACTCCACTCAGCCTGGCAGGCTCCAAGGTATCTTCTGGCTTCCATATTTTTTTTCTCAGAAAATACATATTTTTTTTCTCAATATGTTTCAGTCCTTCATATTTTCTTTCTTTTGCACAAGTACCACATGGAGACCCTTTTGTTAGAAGTACAAACAGCACAGTTGCCTGGATCGGTCTGCTTTAGACGTAGCAGCTTTTACCTCCTGAGTGTGCTGCTCGCTGTCCCATGGCCAGCTTTTCTCATGGACAGTACACCCTAGGGCCAGCCTGCTCCTCCGCTGCTGGGTCTCAGCGCCTGTGGACAGAGTTGTGTCCACTTCTGCTGTTACAGTGCTCAGGGGTTTCTAGTATGGATGCCCGCTGTGCGTTCCTGCACTTGAGTGACATCTCAGTAGACTGCCCATTGTCCCCCCAACATGGTCACTCCCGTGTCCCAGCCCCTCCCTCACCTGTGCCACCACCTTCCTTCCAGGTGCGCTCCAAGGAGGATGGCCGGCTCTATGCAGTCAAGCGTTCCATGTCGCCGTTTAGGGGCCCCAAGGACCGGGCCCGCAAGCTGGCTGAGGTGGGCGGCCACGAGAAGGTGGGGCGGCACCCACGCTGCGTGCGGCTGGAGCAGGCCTGGGAGGAAGCTGGCATCTTGTACCTACAGACAGAGCTGTGTGGGCCCAGCCTGCAGCAGCACTGTGAAGCCTGGGGCACCAGCCTGCCCGAGGCCCAGGTCTGGGGCTACTTGCGGGATACCCTGCTTGCCCTGGCCCACCTGCACAGCCAAGGCCTGGTCCACCTTGATGTCAAGCCTGCCAACATCTTCCTGGGGCCTCGGGGCCGATGCAAGCTGGGTGACTTTGGGCTGCTGGTGGAGCTGGGTGCCATCGGGGCTGGTGAGGCCCAAGAGGGAGACCCTCGCTACATGGCCCCCGAGCTGCTGCAGGGCTCCTGTGGAACAGCAGCCGACATCTTCAGGTGAGGGGCAGGCAGGGGTGTGGCAGGCTTGGAGGTGCCTTCTGGAGGTGATCGAAAGAGAACGCTCCCTGGGAGGGAAGCCCCGTTCTGGACAAGGCCAAGAGGATGCCCTCAGGTCTAAGGGTTGCCTGCCCCGACCCCAGTCGGGGGACTTCCCAGGCCGTGCTGCCCGTGAGAGTGAACCCTGGTGACTGCACACAGAGCAGCTTCTGGCAGCATAAAGGGACCATTGCCATTGCAGGAGGGAGTTGCCCCAGGTTAGAAGTTGGCAGGTCCCACTGGCCGTATAGCTAAACCACCACTATCCTGCCTCTCACACTCCCATCTGGCCACCTCTGTACAGGGTGAGTGAGGCACAGGGAGAACTCGCCTCAGCAGTCTGCATGCTATTCTCTGTGGGATCTATACTCCATAATGGGGTTCCAGGCCTGATGGGGCCCAGTCCATCTCCTACACCCCCTTGCTTGCAGTGGAACATAGCAGTCCCCTGCCACCCACCGGGGCAGTCTGAGATTGGGTCTGTGTCCCAGGACCAACCCTACTCATTTCCATCCCTACTTTGCCCTCTCCTAGTCTGGGTCTTACCGTCTTGGAAGTGGCATGCAACATGGAACTGCCCCATGGTGGAGAGGGCTGGCAGCAGCTGCGCCAGGGCTACCTGCCACCTGAGTTCACTGCCGGTGAGTGGGGGTGGGCCGCTACAGTGGAGGTATTGTGGGCTCAGAGCCATCAATGTCTGGGGTGCTGACATCGCCCCACCTCATTGGCAGGTCTGTCCCCCGAGCTCCGTTCTGTCCTCATCATGATGCTGGAACCTGACCCCCAGTTGCGTGCCACAGCTGAGGCCCTGCTGGCCCTGCCCATGCTGAGACCGCCACGTCCCTGGAGTATCCTGTGGTTCATGGCTGCAGAAGCCCTGAGTCATGGATGGGCCCTGTGGCAGGTAAGCCCCCTCTAGAGTCTGGTGGCTGCACCCACTCCCGACCGGGACCACCAACCCCTGAGATTCCTCTCCCCACAGGCTCTGCTTGCCCTGCTGTGTTGGCTCTGGCATGGGTTGGCTCACCCTGCCAGCTGGCTGCAGCCCCCAGGCCCACCAGCCACCCCTCCTGGCTCACCGCCCTGCAGCCTGCTCCTGGACGGCAGTCTCTCCAGCAACTGGGATGAGGACAGTCTACGGTGAGAGGAGGGTGGCAGGGTGCAGTGACAGCTCCACTGTTTGTCACGCCCCAGGGATGAGTGGTGAAAGAGGCTCTCCCACCAAGCCCAGCCCCTTCTCACAGCCTGGGAGACAGCTGAGGCAGGAGGGAACACAGGTCGGGGAGTGGGCCAGTGGCTGTACATAGCACAGACTGGCACTTGGGGCACTGTCCCTCTGCTCCCACCTTGGCAGCATCTGCCAAGGTCCAGGGACACAAGGTTTTATCCCTTCCATAGGTGGGAGAGGCTCCCCACGGAGCCCTGGAGTCCCCTCCCTAAGTCTTCCTGGGAGCCAGTGGGAGATGGTAATCTGTACTCCCCCAGCTTTGGGGAACAAATGGGAAGCACCAGGAAAGCTTCATTTATTGCGTTTGCTTGTGCCTGCCCAGTGCCCACCCAGTGCCGGGGCTGAGGTGGCCTCTGAGTGTGGTTGGGTAGAAAGACTTGTAAGCTGTTGGAGTGCACCATGTTTTATTTCGCCCCGCGAGGTGGGAGCCTGGACCATCCCTGGGGCAGAGCTGCCCCTGCCCTGCACTCCTCAGCCCTCAGCTTTTCTTGCCCCTTCTACAGGCTGGCACGCTCCCCAGAGGCCACCCTGGCTCGGGCTGTGGGGAGTACTTCCACTCCCCGCAGCAGGTACCCACCCAGGTGAGCAGACCCAGGGGCAGGGGTAGGGGTGTGGCTGGCTTGGGGTCCTGAGTGTCAGCTTTCTTCCCCCTCAGGGACGCCCTGGACCTAAGTGACATCGACTCAGAGCCACCTCGGGGTTCTTTCCCTTCCTTTGAGCCTCGAAATCTCCTCAGCCTGTTTGAGGACTCACTAGACCCCACCTGGACCTCGGGCCCAGCCTAGCTGCTTTTAATATTTTGTCCCCTTTTCTTCTCATTCCCTAGAAAGTGGGGCCCCTCTGGGGACTCCCATGGGTGCCCTCTGCCTGGCCGTGTGTAATAAAAGGTATCTGAACCTTGGGAGTGCTTGTGGGTATGCCACATGGCACTGCTGCCTGGGTCTCAGGCCTGAGGCTGCTCCTGCTGCAGAAGCCAGGGCCTCAGCCTGGAGCCTTCCCGCTTGTGGAGCAGATGCAGTGGGCAGCTTGTGCTGTCCACATGGCATTCAAGACACAGGGCAGACTCTTCGTCTAGATGGGCCTCCCTGGCTACTCCCTGTGCATCTGTGGCAGCTGCCTGGCAGAAGCAGCCACCCTTGAGCCACTTTGTCCACTGGACAGAAATGCCAACACCCACTTGCTGCTGGATGAGGGGGCTGGTCCTGCTACCCAAAACCCTCACTATCCTGGACAGGAGGGAGGTGGAGCGAGCCAGCTGCTGAGAGGGCGGACATGTGGGGGCAGAAATGTGTGAGTCAGGAAGCGTGGCCTGGGGGCTGGCCCAAGCACCGAGAGAGGCCTTGTGGGAGGGTCAGGACAGGTGATGGCTCCAGGCTGGCAGGACTCCCAACAGACACGGCAAGAAGTGCCCCAGTTGGTCTGGTTGAGTCCTCACAGGACCCAGACAGGGAGCAGAAGCCAGAGCTCCAAGACAAGGGTGGGGGGCATGGTCAGTCCACAGAGATGGATGGAGGGGCAGCTACTCCGAGGAGGAAGTCTGTACCAAGGAGCCAGCCCCTTGACGTCAGCAGGAGGAAGCACGGCATTGGCTCCTAGGGGCAGGCAGCTCAGTCTGGTGGGCAGGCGTGGTGGGCGGCCCAGAGCAGGTCGGGCACCACCCCGGCGTGCAGCTGCAGGATGGATCCCACGCTGAGCAGATGCATGATCTGGTGCGAGTTGCCCCAGTAGTCGAAACGCCCAGGTCCCCAGCGCTCTGGCAGACGGGCGACGTTCACCAGCCCGCCGAGCAGTGCCAGTGCGTCCATGCGCAGGTAGCAGGGCAAGGAGCCTGGAGCCCCTGAGCCCAGCCCCAGTCCGCGGGCCCCAAACACCAGCAGGCGTGCACCTGCTTGCCAACCAAAGGCCCGGAGCCTGGCAGTGGTGGAGGGGGCGGTGAGAGCCCTCCAGCCAGCCACTCCTGAAAGCACAGTGTAGCCCACCAGGGCAGCTGGGCGCAGCCAGGGCCTGCAGGCCAGGGTACAGTGGATGATGGGCAGGGCCCCTGCATGGGGAGACAGAGCGTGTTAGTCTGGGGGTCTGCCCATCCTCCCTCCCAGAGTTCACCCCGGCTCGCCCTCCTCAGCTCCCACCCATCAGGACCCTGACTCACCGAGGGTGTTTACAAGGCAGACCCCACACATGTCCAGGGCGAGGAGTCGGGCATACACAGAGCTGCCCCCTTGGTGGCACATGAAGAGGTGATAGAGCACAGAGCCCGCAGGGGGTGCCAGGCAGGCCACGCAGTGTGTGCCCCCCAGCCAGCCATCCTTGCCCAGCTGTCCCCAGGGCATGGTCATCGGCACCAGCACCAGGAAGCCCAGCAGGGCCAGCCCTGGGGGAAGGAGACAGGTGTCCATGAGTGTCAGCGTGGAGGGCACAACACAAGGCTGTCCTGCCAGTGTCACTGGTCACTTCATCAGGGCAACCACTGTCACTACTGGTGAGCACATGGGCTGGGAGAGGCCATGTGACTGCCTGGGTGAACCATGTGAGCCAGCGGAGGACAGTCCACAGCCTGACCTCTCAAGCTGCAGGCAGGGGGTCCCCATCTGGCCTGCCAGGCCCACGTCTGGCCACACAAAACTAAGAACGAGGACACAGCGGTGATGAGCAGCCCCAGTTACTGAGCTTGCCCCTCAGCCCAGACAAAGGGAGGCCTGGCCTGATCTTCAGAAAGGGGTGAGGTGGCACTCACGAAGGAGTTGAATGGACCAGGCACCTGCCCCAGCACGGACAAGAGTGAAAGGGGGTCCCGCTGCCTATCCTGGCGAGGCCACCAGCTCACACTAACGTCAGCCCCACCTGGCTCAGGGCCCCTCTGGCCGGGGCAGCTCAAGGGCAGGCAGGGCTCTGTCAGCGGAGCTCAGCCGCAGAGGAGGGGCCGGGCGCCCTGGCGGGGAGGAAGGAGCTGCCAGGGCGGAGCCCCAGGGCAGAACTGCCAGGAACTGGGCAGTGGGAGACGGCTGCCCACGGACCCTTCCTCCTCGCAGCCACCACCCATCTCCGGGACGGTTGCTGGCAAGGAAGGGTGCCCAGGACGCTGGTGCCATGAGGGGGCGGGAGATCAGGCTTCTCGCCCCTCCCGGGGGTGAGAAGGGATTACGAGGGCTCAGCCCCTTCTCTGCCTCCCTCCTGCCCGGGCGCCCCGCTGGGAAGGCGGAAGCTGCGGGGCGGTCTGGGACAATGGCAGCTTTGTCACCGCGGCTTCGGGCCGCAGCGGGCCGGTCCCGGGACCCAGCGTCGGGCGCTCCCAGCCTTTAGGCCCGGCATGACACCGCCAAGGAAAGCTCGGTGCGGGATGCGTGGTGGGGCTGCGGCTCACCGTGCGTGTAGATGTTGCCCAGCTCGTTGTGCAGATAGAAGAGGCTGCGCAGGCAGTCGGAGCCGCTGCTGGCCGGCCGATACCCGGTCAGCACGAACTTATTGAACTGCAGGTGGGGCGGCGAGCTGGCCCAGTCCAGCAGGCGAGGCCCAGTCAGGAACGCCATGGCCCAGCGCAGCGCGGGTGGCCCGCACTCCTGCTACCCACAGCCGCGGCTTCCGTGGGGGCCTAGGGCCTAGGGCAGCATGACGGCCCGCCGCCCCGCACAGGACAGCTGCGCGCCGTGGTCGGGGGTCCTGGGCCGCGCCCCTCCTTCCGCGCGCAGGCGCGAGCCTGACGCCCCCACGCCGGGGAGGGAGCAGGGGACGCGCGGGCTTGCCGGGCGCAGTGCAGCGGGCTCCACCGGGGCTGGAGCGCGGCAGCGGGCACCGCGGAGACGGCTGGTCGTCCTGCGGCAGCTGGGAGGACGGGCGCGGCCGGACGCTGGAGGGGACGCCAGGCTCCGCCCCGGCCGCTCGCCCCCGCCATCCCGCCGGGTTTCGCGCGCTGGCTCCTGACGCAGGCGCTGCGAGGGCCAATGCGCGCGGCCGGCGGGGAGGCCCCGCCTCGAGGCCGCAGACAGTCCCGGTCCTGACAATCCGGTTGGCCCGAGGCGACTGCTAATTCGGGACCCCACGTTCTGGGTACCACGGACCCGCCTCGGTGACCCTGGCCCCTGGGTCCGCCGAGCGTTGCGCGCCCGGGCCTCCTTCGGTGGCCACACCTCCGGGTGCCCACCCTGGAGGGCACAGCGCGTCACCCAGCCCCACCCGCAGCCCGACCTCTGTCCAAGGTGCTGCTGGCTCTGACCCGTTCGCAAGGGCCGAGGCTCTAGCCGGCCCATCCCGCCTTGCAAAAGGCGGAGCGCTGCCGAGGCGCGTGGACGCCCAAGCTAAGGGCGCCGCCGAGGCACCTGGAGCCGTCGGGCGAGGCTCTGCTGTCGGGGTTGGACCTGTCCTGATCCGCGGCCTGTGCCCCGCCCGGGACGGTAAATAGAGGCGGAGAGCTGGAGACAGGAGGGAAAGACCGACCCCGGCCCGCCCACTCGCTCTTCCGCGTTCTCTGCGCTCTGGCCCGCCACCCGCATTCCCGGCGGCTGATTAGTGTGGCTCCGCGCGACACGCGGGCACTTGCCAAGACCTGTACCAAGAGGTCCTTTAAAGTTGGGCAGATCTTTTTCTTTAAAAAAAAGGGGGGGGGCTTTATTTACTTGTTTAAAAGCAGAGTGACCTGAGAGAGAGAGATCTTCCACTTTCCGGTTTACCCTCGAGATGCCTGTGAAAGTGGACGCTGGGCCTGGGAGCCGCCGGCCAGGAGCTCGGCGGGGGATCTCCCAGGCGGGTGGCAGTCAGATACGCAGATGGGCCATCCTCTGCTGCCCCCAATCCCTCCCACGTGAGGTGCCAGGGTGGTTTCTGGTCCCTCATCGGGGCAGCAAGCAAGGCCCACAGGAGGGCTGGGTTCCTCTTGGCCTCCACCTGCTGCGCTGCAAGGGCCAGAGCAAGTCTCCTATCCGAGGTCGGGTCTTCTCCAGATGAGCTGAGCCCAGCTGCCCTTAAAGGGGCAGAGGGCAGAGGTAGGGTAGGGCAGCGTCCCTAGTGTCCATCTCAAGCACGAGTAGAGGGTCCAGTGGACCCTGGGAGTCCGGGTCAGAGGGCGGAGATGAGCGAGCGCAGAGAGCTCTGGCTGGAGGCGCTCAGGGAATGGTAGCCCGCGGCAGGGCCCTCTGTCTGGGCATCCACTGAGGGGCAGGGCAGGGCCACCCCTCGGGGCCGGCGGTACCACACAGCCCAGCTTCTCCTGGCGCCCTGGGAAGGCCCCAACGCCAACGGCCGTTTCCCCGCAGCCAGCAGGCAGCTCCTAGAGAGGGAGCAGACATGAGCAGGATCCCAGCCCCGCTCCCTCCTCGGCCCCCTCTTGGGCACCACCAGCGCCCCACCAGCCCCCCATGCCCGCACCGTCGGCACAGCAGCCGCAGCAGCGACAGGAGCAGCAGCAGCAGCATGGACGCGGCGGTCACCGTGGACAGGACTCGGGCTGCGGGCGGGCACGCGGGCGCGGTGAGGGCGGAGCCCCGGGGCCACTCCCCGACGGCCTCCCGCCCGGCGCGCCCCCTCACCGCCTGGCCGGGCCTGCGGAGCGCCAGGCCTGGGGCTGCAGCTCGCGTTGGTGGGGGACCCCGCGGGGGTCTGGGCGGAGCCTCGGGGCCGCTCCCCGTCCTCGGCGTCCCGCAGCCCTGCGGAGAGGGGTGTGAGGGCCGGGGCGGCGGGGGCGGCGGGGGCGGGGCGGGGACGCAGCTCACCGCGGTAGGTGAGCGCGAAGCCCTGCGCGTGGCCGCGCGCGTCGCTGCGGAAAGTCAGCAGCAGCGCAGCGGGACGCAGGCGCAGCGGCCCGGGCGGCGGCGGGCGGGCGCCGTCGAAGGCGCGGAGCAGGCGGCCCGAGGCGGCGTCGCGCAGCTCCAGCCGGTCGCGCGGGTCGGCCAGCTCGAAGAGACGGAAGGTGAGCTCCAGCGCGGAGCCCGCGGGGCCCAGCAGCCAGCTGCAGTTCCGGTCCGGCCCGTACTCGTCCGGGAAGTCCGGGGAGTAGAGGACCCCCTGCGGCGCCGTCCAGTTCCCCTGGCAGGAGCCCACCGACACTGCGGGCGGGCCGGACCGTCAGGACCTGGGGCAGCTCGGGCTCCGCGCTCGCCTGTCCACAGCCAGGCCCCGCCCACCTCCGCCCAGGCCCCGCCCCAGTGCCCGAAGGCCCCGCCCACCTCCGCCCAGGCCCCGCCCCATCTCTGCTCTGGCTCCGCCCCCGGGCCAGTGGGTCCCCTTCCTGCGGCCCCGTCACCACCTCGGAATTCAACCCTTGTGCCCCTCACCCGGAGGCCTCGGCTCGGCACCTGCGTCCACACCGCGACCGCCACTCCAAGCCCACTCCTCACCTTCGTAGATGCCCAGACGGCCGTCGCCACCGCACAGCTGGCCCGGGTGGCCGAAGCAGATCTGGTCACAGTCAGTAGCGGGCGCCGGCCGTCCCCGGGCCAAGTCACCTTCAGAGCCGCAGAAGCAGGCGTAGCCGGCCTCGACGCCCGCCAGCTGCGAGTACAGAGCAGGTGAGGGCTGGGCAGAGGGGCAATGGCTGGGCAGGGGCGAGAGCTGGGCAGAGGCCAGGGCTGGGAGGGGGCGAGGGCTGGACAGGGGCGAGGGCTGGGCAGGGGCTAGGGCTGGGCAGAGGGGCTAGGCCTGGGCAGGGGCAAGGGCTGGACAGGGGCGAGGGCTGGGTAGGGGCGATGGCTGGGCAGGGGCGAGGGCTGGACAGGGGCGAGGGCTGGGCAGAGGGGCGAGGGCTGGGCAGGGGCCAGGGCTGGGTGGGGGCAGGGGCGAGGGCTGGGCAGGCGGGCGGGCGCCCAGGGTACCCTACCTGGTAGCCCTTCATGCGGCAGAAGCGGAGGCACACCTGCACCGTGAGCTTCGTGGAGGTGCCGCTGGGGCCGCTCAGAGCCGGCGGCGCCCCCGAGTCCACGAAGCACCCCAGGTACCCGGGCACTGGGGGGGGCGGCAGAGTGAGGCTCCTGCGCGGGAGGGCGCCCCGCCGCCCGCTGCCCGCACCCCACTCACTGTGACACGTGGGGATGTCGCAGTAGCGCCAGTAAATGCCCTCCTCGGTCTCGGCCACGTAACACCAGGGCTGCACGTCCCCGTCGGGGTTCCTGCCCGCGGGGCGAGGGGCACAGGTGGTCAGGCCCGGGTGGGGTCAGGCCTGCCCCCCAAGTAGGCGCAGCGTGGCCGTGCAGGCCTCAGGAGTCTGGGTTTCTGTGGGAGCTTCTGGCCGTCATTCAGAGGGCCCCAGGGCTTGTGGGGATCCTCAGCAGTTCTCAGGACCTGAGTCTGTGGCTCTGCAGGATGGCAGCCGCGGGCCTAGACCCCCGGTCCCGCTGCAACCCTGAGACGCAGCCCACCCTTTCCGTGCGGGCCCAGGGACCCTTGAGGGACAAGGCTCTGTGCAGTGGCCCCGCCCTAGCTCCTCCCACAGGGCGTGGCTCTGGACGTGGACCCGCCCCACCCGGAGCCCAGCTCCTCCTCCTGGGTGTGGCTCTGTACATTGGCCCCACCTCAGCACCTCCTCCTGGGCGTGGCTCTGCACGCCAGTCCCTCCCCATCCATCGCTCCGCCCTGCTCCTCCTCCTGGGCGTGGCTCTGCACGCAGACCCCACCCCACCCGTCGCTCCGTTCCTCCTCCTGGGCGTGGCTCTGCAGCCAATCCCGCCCCGTCCCCTCCTCCTGGGCGTGGCTTGCCCCGCCCTCACCTGCAGAAGTTGTGCGCGCCCAGCCCCCAGCGGCCCTGGGGGTCCCTGGCGCTGCTGTAGCTGTGCTGCTGCGTCTGGTCCCAGAAGAGGCACGGGCGGCCGGCCCCGCGCGGGCCGGTGCGGTTCTGGCGGCCGCGGTAGTCCGCGCCGTTCACCTGGAAGCACTCGGACAGGCCTGCACGGCAAGGGCAGGACCTGCGGAGGTCCGGACTCCGGCCGGGCATCCTCGGAGCCCAATGCCGGCTCGCCAGGGTCCCCGGCCTGCGCGACCTCCCGTCACCCCTGGCCCGGTCCCCCGACGCCTGTCTCCACCAGGGGCCCTCGGGCAGCTCAGCTCCAGCCACCTGCTCGGCCCCTGCCCTCTGCCCGCCCGAGCCCCAGCCCTGGGGGCGAGGCCTGAACTCACCTGGGCTGTGCAGGCTCCCCGCCGAGGCCCGGCGCAGCAGCGGAGACAGGATGAGCAGGACGAAGAGGCCCGGTAGGGGCTGAGTCCCCATCGCCCTTAGTCAAGTGGAGGTTGTCCTGTCCCAGGCACCAGCCCCTGGGAGGTCGCTGTCCTCTGCGGGGTCCTCACCCCGCTCTGGAGTCTCCCTGTGCCGGTTCCTACCTGGGGGTTATGGGGGTCTCTTCCGAGGGTGTCGGCTGCGGCGCTCTGGCCTCCCGCCGCGCCCGCTGTCTGCGTCCTGGCCCGGGTCTCTATCGCACTGGCTCCTGCCCCCTCGCGTCCCTCCCTGCTGGGTCCCTCCCCACCCCCGGGGGACGGGAAGCCCCGCCTGGGACCTGGGCAGGCGGCAGGTCCAGACGCCTCCCACGCCTGCCCCCCAGGACCCCCGCCCCTGCCCCACCCACGCTCTCTAGAGCCGGGGGTCGGTGAGGGTTCCAGGCTGAGGGGTGTGGACGGGGACGAGACGGGCTGACGGGCAGCGCGACCCCCTCCCGGGCTGCTCGCCCCCGGGACGCCCAAGCACGCGCGTCAGGTGCTCGCGCAGTGCCTGCCCACGTCCCCTGTCCACGGCCCCTGCCCACGGCCCCTGCCCACGTCCCCTGTCCACGGCCCCTGTCCACGGCCCCTGCCCAGCTCCCGACGCCAACGGGCGGAAGAAGAAAGCGCCGCTCCCCGCCGCGGCCCCCGCGAGACAGGCGGGAGTCGGGGGCGCTGGGCCCGGACAGGCAGGGGCAGCTGGCGTCTGCGGAGGAAAGCAGCTGCGCCCTCACTCCGGGACCCCCAGCCCCGGCTCTCCCGAGCCCTCGCCGCTGGGCGGTGGAATTTCCCCGGCGGTGCCCCCCATCTGGCGGGGGAGGGGGACAGGGGCAGGCCCCGGCAGGCGTGGGGGGAAATTCCCCGCCCCCTCCCCCGGCCCGACTCCTCCGGGTCCTCTGATCTCCCCGCGCCGCCCGCCGCCCGCGGGGCTTGGGGGGAGGCCAGCGCAGGTGCGTGGGGGGCGGAGGCGGGGGCCTGGGGAGGCGGTGGGGCCTGGGGAGGCGGTGCGGGGGCCTGGGGAGGCGGTGGGGGCCCCGCCCAGAGCCCTCGACCCCCGCCCCATGCAGCGCACGCCGCACACCCTTGCTCAGGCCGCCTGCCCGGCTGCTGAGCTGGGGCCGTGGCCGGGAGCTGATGGGGAATGAGGTGGATGGCGCGGCCGGGCCACCAGCTCGCCATGCCCGGCGCTTGGGGCCTGCTCCTCCCCGGGCTGCTCCCGGGTCTCCCCTCTGTCGCCCGCCGACGTTGGAGCCACCGGCTTGGTCCTAAGGGGCAGGTGACGAAGTCACAGCTGACAGAGGGGCGAGGCGGGGGCGCGCAGGACCCCAAGAATCAGGGTGGTTCGTGGACCCAGCAGAAGTGTGGCGTCAAAGCACTGACACCCACCCACCACGGCCGGCAGGGGGCGCGTGGTGTCAAGGCCAGTCCCAGGTGCCCACGGAACCTTCCAGAACAGACAGGCCCTGCCTGCCCGTTTGCGGAGTTTACACTCAGGCTCTGCAAGCAGCTGCCTGCCTGCCCTCCTGGGGCCCTGCTGGAAGGGGGTCTCCCTCAGCTCTCTGGCCTGCCCCCCAAGTCCCCGGCGTCCCTCTGGCCAGGCCCCCTTCAGCCTTCTCCCAGATGGATGCGGGGTGGAGCTGAGGGGGCATTTCCTGGGAGTTCAGAGAAGGACCCCGAAGTCCCCACCGTGACCCCTGCGCCCCTCGCCCACCTCCCAGGGCCCCACCTCTGCTCATTGCTAGGCCCCACTTCCAGCTGGGAGAGGGGTGCCTATGCAGGCATGGCAGCTCCATGCCCGGTGTCAGGTCTGCAACCAGCATGACCCTCAGGGAGCTGCGCACCTCCTGGGTGTCAGCTGCGCCTAGAGTGGTCTGTTATGTGTACTCCGTGCCCTGGCTGAGCAGAGAGGCTGCCCAGGGCCGGAACAGGGTGAGGCTGTGCCAGCTCCCTGTCTGGGGGGGGTCTAGTGGGTGGGTCAGGAAGACCCCAAGCCCTGGGGGCACAAGTCCCAGAGTAGCTAGCTGTTTGGAGGGCGGCGCTACAGCGAGAGAGAGCTCTTAAAAAATTTTAAAACGATGTAACCATTATACAAGATAAAATTTTTAAAGATAGATTTGTTTCTATCACAAAGTCAGATATACGGAGAGGAGGAGAAACAGAGAGGAAGATCTTTCGTCTCACGACTTACTCCCCAAGTGAGTGCAACAGCCGGTGCTGCGCCAATCCGAAGCCAGGAGCCTCTTCCGGGTCTCCCACAGGGTGCAGGTCCCAAGGCTTTGGGCCGTCCTCGACTGCTTTCCCAGGTCACAGGCAGGGAGCTGGATGGGAAGTGGAGCTGCCGGGATTAGAACCGGTGACCAGATGGGATCCTGGCACGTCCAAGGTGAGGACTTTAGCTGCTAGGCCACGGCCCCGGACCCAAGATAAAATTGTTTTAAAATATCTTATTTTTATTTGAAACGCAGGGTATTAGAAGGAGGGAGAGAGATCTTCCATGGCTGGTCACTACCCAAATGGCCAGTCCGAAGCCAGGAGCTTCCTCCAGGTCTTCCACGTGGATCCCGGCGTCCGAGCACTTGGGCCGTCCTCTGCTCTTTCCCAGGTGTGTTAGCAGGGAGCTGGGTGGGAAGTGGAGCAGATCCATGTGGGCAGCGGCTTTACCCACCAAACAATGACCCTGGCCTGTCCTTGAACTCTTCCCTGGAAAACCCCCAGGTCCCAGAGACTCGGTCACTCCCGGCCCTTAGCCCACCCCTTCAGGGGGCTGGGTGGCCCAACGGCTAGCGAGGGACTGGTGGGCAAAGGCTGGCAGCACCCGTCGTCTGCCCGCGAGGACTGCTGGCGCCAGGGGCTGGTGGGCGCGGGTCCCACTGCCCAGGCTCCGGCCCCGGGCGCAGCCAGGCGCCCGGGGGAAGCGGCCGGGACCGGGTGGGGCGGCCGGCGGGGTCCTCACGCCGACCCCCGGCCCCTCGCCCCGGCCCCCGGCCCCTCGCCCCCGGCCCCCGGCCCCTCGCCCCGACCCCCGGCCCCTCGCCCCGACCCCCTCGCCCCGACCCCCGGCCCCTCGCCCCCGGCCCCTCGCCCCGGCCCCGGCCCCCGGCCCCTCGCCCCGGCCCCCGGCCCCTCGCCCCCGGCCCCCGCCCCCCGGCCCCCGGCCCCTCGCCCCGACCCCCGGCCCCTCGCCCCGACCCCCGACCCCCGGCCCCCGGCCCCTCGCCCCTCGCCCCGGCCCCCGGCCCCTCGCCCCCGGCCCCTCGCCCCCGGCCCCTCGCCCCGGCCCCTCGCCCCCGGCCCCCGGCCCCTCGCCCCGACCCCCGGCCCCTCGCCCCTCGCCCCGACCCCCGGCCCCCGGCCCCTCGCCCCGGCGCGGCCTCCAGCGCGCCCTCCTGTGGTCGCGTCGGGAACCACAGCGCGCTGAGAGCGCCCGCAGGTGAGACCGGGAACCGGAAGGAGCCGGCTGGGGGCGCGAGGAGGCCGCGCGTGGAGCCCGGAGCCCGTGGGCGCCTCGCGTCGCCGCAGGCCCGCGGCGTGAGGGGAGCTCGTCCCTGGCCCTCGGGGCAGGCTGGCCCGGGGCCCCCCTCGACGGAGCGCCCAGCTCGGCGGTGCCGCGGGCCTGGCTCATCGTCAGGCTGAGGTGGGTGCCCTGGCTGGTTGTGTGGCCGCCGCGGGAGGAGAGCCCTGGCCCGCGCGGCACGGAGGGCCTCCGTCCCCGAGCAGGCGGCTCTGACGGACACTGGCCCGGCCCTGGGTCTGAGAGCGGGGAGGGGAGGTGCACCCCCTGGGCACTGCCCACCGTGGCTGGGCTGGAGGAAGCGGCCGGTGGCTGGCGGGAGACCCCCGAGGCCCTTCCAGGTTTTGGTCAGAGAAGGAAGCCAGGGAGGGGACACCTGGGCGGCCCCGGGGACGGGTCTGCAGCTCTGGGAGGCCGGGCGGGGCCTGGGGGGCTGCTGCCGTCCAGCTGGGGAGTCGGGCTGAGGATGAACTCGGGGACCTCCCAGAGGGAGGCTGGGCTGGGGGCCGCAGGGCGAGGCCCAAGTGGGCCGCAGGTGTGTGGGGAGGCAGTCGGGCCGGGCTGCAGCTGGGGGCCCTTGACCGTGAGTGAGCAGGAAAGGCTGAGGGCAGCTCCCGGCGCTCTGGCCTGGTCCTCGGAGATGACCCCAGCAGGGCGGAGGGGAAGCTGATGGTCGCCCTGCCGTTGATGTCTGGTGTCCAGAGCAAGCCTTGGTGATGGGGCGCGTGCTTGTGGTACGGTCCCGGCTTGGGGTGTCGCCTGTTACCCTCCCCCCCCCAGAGCCCTGCACCCTGGCTGTGGACAGTCCACTGGAGACATTGATGTGTGTGTGCTCTGTGCTGATTGAAGCCTGGATCTGTTGGAAAGGCAGAGTTAGAACCGAAGATGCGGAGAGATGTTCCTCCAGCCCCCGCAAGACTAGGGCTCGTGCGTCTGGAGCAGGAGCTTCCTCCCTGTCTCCCGAGGGTGCTGGGGCAAGAATCCCAGCCCTCGGGTACGTTGGGAGGGGCTGCGTTGCAAGAGGAGCAGTTAAGACCTGAACTGGCTCTCGTATGGGATATTAGTGCTGCAGGTGGTAGATAAACCCGCTTTGCCACAAAACCACGTTTCTCTTTTTAGATACTCATTTATTTGTATCTGGTAAATTACAAATGAGGGAGATACAGAAAGATCTTCCATCCGCTAGCTTATTCCCAATTGGCTGCAATGGCTGGAGCTGAGTCAGTCTGATGCCAGGAGCCAGGAGCTTTGTCCACCTCCCATGAGGATGGCAGACCGTCTCCTGTGCTGTAGCATAAGCAGAGAGCTGGAACCGGTGCCGTGTCACAGGCAGCGGTTTCACCCACTGTGCCGCAGTGCTGGCCCCTGAAAGGCTGCAGGCTTCAGAAGGTGAGTGACCCCTGACTTTTGGGGTTTCTGAGTTTTTACAGATTACAACTGTTCCAACCCATGAAAATGACATGAAATATTAAAGTATACTTTAACACCATACACTGTCATCCCTTACACAGGGCCTCTGGGATGCCAAGATCTGTAGTTTTCAGAGTATCAGATAACATGCATGTATTTAAACGCCTTCATGTTGTGCTGCTCTTGTTGCTATCGTTAATAGAGCTGTTTGCTAGATTTCATCCTAAGTGAAGAAAAGTGTAATTGATATTTGTACTTTTATCTTGTACCTTCCATCCTGGACAAGTAATAAATACATGTATAATTAATTTGAAGGACTGAGTGATGGGGAGATAGAGCTTGCATCTGGCTCACTGCCCAAATACTTACAACAGTGGGGGCAGAGGGCTCAGGCCAGATCC